TTGTTTTAGCTTAGAAAACATGCAAACTGAACCAGACGAACTGAGAATCTTCACCAGCTTCATACAGTAATCAAGTAAATACACTTTGTTACTTTCTACCACTGGTCATGAGAAACATGAGCAGTTCACAGATCAGGTGAAAATACAGTCAAAATAAGATCTTAATTCATTGCTAACAAACGGCAAAGCTTGGAAAGTTGTGGTAAAAAAAAAATTCTTATGAACAAATGTATTTTTTTACTTTATTTTCTACTTTGAATTGCAGCTAACCAAACATTAAATCAAATATTATGAGCCCCTCAGTGCTTTAACAAAAATTTGACTGATTAGTCTCTCACTCTTCAGTAACTCCTTGAATTACTATTTTCTACTTTTACTTGAGTAAAGAAAAGGTAAAGTAGTGACACTCTGATTGGTATCACTCCTAGCAGCAGCTAGTGATGTCAGGATGTCTCTATGCTAACTGCATTGGCACCAGATAGCATCCTGTCTCCTGGTCCTAGTTCCCTTCTAACTGCCAGCACTATTAGGAAGCCACTTATTATGGCTACTGCAGACAAACTCCCTCTGTGACTCAAGTGTCCTTACTGATTTGAGGTATTCGGATCAAGCCATGGTCCTTCTGAAGGGCAAGTGTTCAGAAGAAGGTCCAATACCTCCAGTATTCAGTCAGACTTCGTACAGGAAGGGTCCAAACTACAACGATCATCTGCAGGGAGGATCATCAGGGCTGACGTTCCCTCTGTCAGTGACCGCTCAGGTAAACGGCGGTCATTTCCAGACCAGAGAAACCATTAAGACTTCCACCTTGATGCGCCAGAGGCAGGATGTTTACCTGGATGAACGCTTGGTAGTGATACCATGTATCTTCATCTTCCGTTCAAAAACATCTATAGAACATATTTCTATTACCTTGACTGTTAATATTTCTAACATCCCTAGAGCGTGTTTGCCTTACATTTAAACTAAGGAACAACTGTTCAACCCCTTGAGTCCGGCGGGCCCCGGTACAGGGCCCAACTGACACCTGCTCATGTTTATTTATTACTGGAAATGGCTAAAACACAGTCACATGGTGTTTCATCCACACGCCTTACAAATGGAGCTTTCAAATTTCTAAAACATTTTTTCACAAGTGCTTTTTGTTTTAAAGTGTGTAAACAAATAAAATGAGATTTAAAATTACACCTGACATTTGTGACTCTGCGGGAGAAATGCCTGTATTTATTTTTAGCCCCGCCCCCTAATGGCCACCATCATTCGAAACTGGAGGTTCAGACCTTTCCAAGGAGGGGTCAGAGGTCATTGTGTTACAATTTCAGGTGATGCGTTACATAAGCTTCCTCTGTTATTCTTATTTTCTATGCAGTTATGTAATATTATTGGTAAATTTAGATGAAACAATGGCTAAATCTTAGGAGCAAAGGCTTTCCCTTATGCAGAAGGTCTCCAATAATGTAAATCAGCATATTTGTCTGACCCGATTCCCTTTTATGAGTGGAAAAACACTTTTTTGCACTTTTGGCATTGTGCTTAAATCACATTTCCTAGCAACCTTTGTGGAACAAATATGCTTACACTTATTAAGTGCAAATTATCTTGAGTTATAGTCATGATGTGGCTCTATAAAGTCTGAGGGTTCATCCAGTTTCAAATGGGCTTTCATGTTTTGCAACGTTTATATTGGGAATAAAATTGGTGAGGCTAAATATTTTTCATTTTTTATTTGTTCAATCACCTATAAATCAGACGTGGTGACATTTAGAATAATGGTTCCACCTGAAAACTTTTCCTCAATGTCTTTCTGTCATATAAATACAAACAATCGTATTTCCAATTTAATATACTTGCTTTAATTTACATGTGTAATTACAGGCAGAATTTNATTTCTATTACCTTGACTGTTAATATTTCTAACATCCCTAGAGCGTGTTTGCCCTACATTTAAACTAAGAAACAACTGTTCAACCCCTTGAGTCCAACGGGCTCCATACAGGGCCCAACTGACACCTGCTCTAGTTTGTTTATTACTAGAAATGGCTAAAACACAGTCACATGGTGTTTCATCCACACGCCTTACAAATGGAGCTTTAAAATTTCTAAAACATTTTTTCACAAGTACTTTTTGTTTTATAGCTGTGTAAACGAATAAAATAAGATTTAAAATTACACCTGACATGTGTGACTCTGCGGGATTAATGCAACAGCAGGGGTTCATTTTTAGCCCCGCCCCCAATGGCCACCATCATTCGAAACTGGAGGCTCAGACCTTTCCAAGGAGGGGTCAGAGGTCATTGTGTTACCATTTCAGGTGATGCGTTACATAAGCTTCCTCTGTTATTCTTATTTTCTATCAGGTTTGGTGATATTATTGGTAAATTTTAATCAAACAATGGCTAAATCTTAGGAGCAAAGGTCTCCAATAATGTAAGTCAGCATATTTGTCTGACCTGATTCCCTTTTAATGAGTGGAAAAACACATTTTTGCATTTTTGGCATTGTGCTTAAATCACATTTCTTAGCAACCTTTGTAGAACAAACATGCTTCAACTTATTCAGTGCAAATTATCTTCAGTTATAGTCAAGATGTGGATCTATAAAGTCTGAGGGTTCATCCAGAGTTTTTAAATTGACTTTCATGGTGTTTTGCGGCGTTTATATTGGGAATAAAATTGGTGAGGCTAAATATTTTTCATTTTTTATTTGTTCAATCACCTATAAATCAGACGTGGTGACATTTAAAATAATGGTTCCACCTGAAAACTATTCCTCAATGTCTTTCTGTCATATAAATACTAACAATTGTATTTCCAATTTAATATACTTGCTTTAATTTACATGTGTAATTACAGGCAGAATTTGCTCCTAAGACCATCTGGGCTTAATTTGCAGCCTGTGAAAAGAGGACACACCCAAACAACAGGAGTTTTAATAATTTTTATTCTTTACCGTAGAAACACTGTACATAAATTACTTTCTCTGAGACTAATATCGATGTACGGATAAATGGATTTCCTCAACCTTCAACATAAAGTTAAATCAACAAAACACTGTCGACTTGTCTCTGGAAAAACAAAATAAAAACAGAATGCTTCCTAGCATACGATGTTACTTCTGTTTCCCTTCAGACATGTTTAAAGTTGCCTTCCAACCATTTGTACAGACATGTACACAGAAAAAATCTCTAAGAGAGCAGAGACCTACAATCAATGAGAAACATCCACATCGATTTCTGATCTATTACTGTTACTTATGTGTCATTCATGAAGATGCGCTGTCCCTTTAAGAAAAAACGAGCAACATTAACGAGAGAAGCAACAGCCTGTTGCTAATTACAGCAACCCAACTGCCCCCCCGCCCAACCAAGCCATGACGACAAGTTTCTACCGCGAGCAGCACTACTACCTTTGACTGACAAAATCACAAGGTCTATGCATTATGATGCAGAGTCACAATTTGTAGAAGAAAAGGACTCTCCTGGGTCTTCCTGGTCTACGCAGACTGTGAACTGTGATCCCCTCCCTCTGCACACGCCAGCCCTTCACAGAGCTCTGTCTCCTAGCACAAGGGATGAGGAGGAGGAGGAGGAGTGCTTGTAGAAATGACCAAACAGATCACGCCTCATCAGTAGGAGAAAAAACAAAAATTACAATGCAACATTTGGCTTTTGTTAAGTTCGTCTCATGGTCTGTTGTGGTGGTGGGGGTGTGGGGTAAAGTAGTAATAGTGCGATACATGTAGGTAATAGTATGTAAACGCTTTTCAGTTGATTTTAATATCCCTTTTTTTGTCGAAGCAAATGCAAGTTTATATAGAAAATCAAAACCAAAAAATTACAAACAAACAACAAAAATTCTTATTTTCTTTCTCTTTTTTTGACTTGTACAAATTTCAGTCCTTTTTTTGTGCCTGTCTCTCTTAGAGAGAGTCCACAACAGTTCCATTCAATGGCTTCAGCCATGGAATAATAAATCCTATAGACAAGGCTCAAACCTAAGTGATGGGTCCCATCTGGACCCTCAGACACACGATACCTGCAACATCTGTTAGGGATGCACAGTCTGGAGCTGCTGATATGCGCCTGACAGCTGCTTGCATGTCAGGCTGACTATCGGAACCAGTCTCTATCGTTCCCTCTATTAATCCAAAGTCTCTGTTTAACAGGTACATAGCCCACAAACATGGCAGTCAGATTAGCCGGGCCTATCGGAGGGGAATGGAGGGGCATGCGTGCAGCCTGTCTAAAAGCACAAGAGGGAACAGAAAAAGTCGGGCATTGAAGAACCTTCCCCCGGTTCACCACGACAGTCCCAGCTGTAGTTTCCGGTCGGTTAGATTGAAACGGTGTTCATCAAAAAGTCTTCGCAGTCAACTTTAACCACCTGAAGAGACAAAATCTAAGGAGGGTCGGTGGGCAGGTTTTGGAGTCTTAGACAGTTCAAGCTGTGACGTCCATTTAGTGTTAAAAGAGAACTTTTAGTGTTAGTTTTGACAGTCAGAGGTGGTACCATCCAGGCATGTTCATGCCGTGTTACCTCCTCCCTATCTCGCTTTGCCGGAGGAACTGGATGTTGTTGGCGCTGTCGGCCAGTTCAGGGTACTGCTCAATGGAAAGGACGTAGTAGCCATCGTAGCCCTGAACCTTGCCGCTGCTCAGCAGCTGCCTTTTCTCTCCCTCTGTCCAAAGCCTCACACCTTCCTCCCCATCTCTCACTCGCTGTTGTTCACGGGCCCAGGCGCTGGACAGCGCCCTCTGCCGTGCCTGCTCCAAGATTCGCGTTTTCTCTTCGTCCAGCGTTGTTCCGTAGCGCACATGGAGCACCAGAGCGCCGTACTGTAGTTCTACGTCAGCAAATCGCCGGGTTCTCCCGTTCATCACAGTCGTAGACTGAGACACTGTGACATTCACCCCATTTTCCAGGGACTTCTTGCCTGAGGTGAGCCGCAGCGCACTCAGGTCGTTCTCAGGGAGGCTGGTCTTGATGAAGTAGTGAGTGTCTTTTCCCTCCACCGTGAAATGTAAGTTCTCCAAGTAGAAGGCATTGTTCAGGACTCCGGACACTTTGATGCAGTCCTCGCTGGCGATGTTTAGAGCATTTGTCACCACTCGCCCCTGCACCACAGCAAACATGACACCCTTTCCAATGAGGGACTTGACAGTGGCGAACCATAACCAAGGCTTGGTGTGGTCAGAATGTCGTCTGCTGGGCTCAATTTCTGGCATACGCTCGAAGGACAGGAAGGCTGATGACTGACGAGTCACTTCCTGCTGCACACCTGAGATAGACTGTGGAGAGAAGAAACCATGAGACATCACTACATGTTCGCTGCATTAAAACACTCACCACAGCTCATGCAGTGTCCTAGTATCGTATACTAGTGGCTCCAAGATTTTCGAGAAGTAGAATGTGAGGCAGATCTTTTAGTTTTCAAGCATTTCCTCTTGGAATAGAAAGTGTCAACATGTTGACTCTTTTTGACCCTTTTTAAAAATGTTAAAGTGGTTCAGGTTATCCTGATCTATCTCTTTGGTTATGCTGCTATAGGCTTCAGCTGCTGGAGGACATAGGGATCACTTTTCAACATTCTGCTTCATTCTATCACTATTCAACAATTCAGCAGTATTTGTTAGTTTAACCACTAACTTTATTTGTCTCTGTTTTTTTTTCATAGCAGCTTCATCTAATCTGGTTTTGTGTGGCTGTGACGCCATCCTGGATCTAAGCCACTAGTGGCTCAAAGAATTTCTAGAAGTAGAATGGGAGGCAGATCTTTTGGTTTTCAAGCCTTTGCTACTGGATGAGAGTGTGGCAACATGTTGACTGTTTTTGACCCTTTAAAAAAAGGTTAGAATTAGAGAGGTCCAGGTTATCCTGAGCTATCTCTATAGTTATGCCACTATATCCTTCAGCTGCTGGAAGACATGCAGATTCCTTTTCATCATTCTGCTTTATTCTGTCTCTATTCAACAGTTTTGCAGTATTTGCTAGTTTAACCACTAACTTTATGTTCTCCGTGTCTCTTTCTCATCATAGTGGTTTCATCTAATCTGGTTCTGTTTGGCTGTAAGACCATCCTGGATCTAAGCATCAATGGGGCTTCTGGCGTTAACAATCTCCATGATAGAATCAGGCAGGTTTTTCAGGGTTTTGCCCTGTTTCTCTCCTGGACATTAGCTATGGGCTCACCTTTTACTGTGACTAAGCTGTACATGCTCTCTTTCCTCCCTTTTGACATGAAAGCTGACTCAAAACTGTTTCTTTACCAGACAGAGGTACCAATGGAACTAGCGTCCTTCTCTTACAGAGAAGGTATCTACTGATCAGTGTTTCTATGTTCCTTTGGTGTGCCTGTCTCCCTTTCCTTAAACCCCCAGTCGGCCTCTACAGAATGCCGCTCACACCGAGAGGTCAAAACTCACTGTAGCCACCAAACAACAGATTGATGAATGATCATGGTTTAGTAGGTTTCATATAAACAGCTGTTTTATTATTAACTTAACTGTTTTTCTGGTATATTTCTTAAAATGTAAGTTTCATTTGTATCTACCTCTAAAGGTTCCTCCTGGTCAGGACTGGATTAAAGGACTACTCGGAGCTAATAAACAGAGCAGATGGCCTCCACTCTCTGTGTCAGTGGTATAACACTATTGCAGATACTGGATGCCTCGGAGAAACAAAAATGATTCCTCACTTCAGATAACACTTTAAATTGCTCTGAGCCTTTCTGACTCCCTTCATCACCTTCTCTGATCTTCTCCCTGCCCTTCCCTTATTATTTGTGACTGGCTTGATTCAAAGACTTCTTTGGCTGTTTGAGCTGAAGTGTGACCCTTTGATAGTCTGTCCAATATAATTACCCCAGTAACAGAGTAAGTGCAGGAGAAGAGAGAAAGGTGACTGTCATTGTTCCCACAGCTTCGTCTTGGTAATTTTCCTCTATCCCATAATCTTATCACCATGCAACATTTCTCAGTAGATCCTGTTTTAGGTTTATAAGGAATCAGATGCGTATCCTAACTGTGGCCAGGCATCAGAGAGGAATAAAGGCTAGCTGTTGGTGTTGACAATGTAGTTCTGAATTAATTCACTAAAATCAGCAGATTTTAAATGAATCTTTATGCAGACAATAATATTGAATCAAAGTTATGACATGAGAGAACTGTTAGCGTACAGTGTCATTAGAAAACATTAGCGATTAAAGCAAACATGCCAAACTACCGCTACCCACTATTTAACAAGAACTGAAGTCATAATTTTATACTAGTTTGGTGTCAAAACATTACAGAGCAGGAAATTATTTTATATTAAGTTAATGTGTTGCTAAATTGGGTGAATTAAAATTAGTGTTGCATCTCTACTGATACCAGGATCGTATAGTTTTACTAGTTTAGTTAAGAGTTCTGAACCGGAATATGTTTGATTTGGAGCTGAATGATTTTTGTTAATAAATTCTTATATTTTGAACAGATATGTGGATATATTCCATATGTGTGCAGAGTTAATGGTTTGACCACGATTTGAGCTTGATTCACACTTCAATGAACCTGTTATCCAGACACACAGAACAACGTCTGACAGCCTGAGAGTTATTAGATTCAATATTCAATAAATAAAGACATATATTTATATTCAGGGAAGGGTTTTCTTCTTGTCTGTTTTTTTGGCCTGTTAATAAAGCTGTGAGCTCAGATCCATAAATTTAAACAGGACATTTTAAAGCAAAACATGTCTCAGAGTGAGAAAAAAGTAATCACTACGCGTGATGAGTCCACCACCTGAGGTAAGAATTAACTAAAACTATTGCTGCTCGCCATCATCAAGGTCCCAAAAAATAAAAGGCAATATTTCTGCATTTGTTCCAACAGATCTGAGTTTTTTCTGACCTGAACACAAGTAACTGAACCCTGAGCCTTAATGAAACACAAAACACACTGCAGTAATCAGAGGATGTAACACCAGCTCATTGAAACATAAGCATAAGCATAACACTGTATGAATTTTTGTCCTTTTTCGGGCCGATT